CCCTGGCTTTGGCCCCACGCTTAGGACACTCAGATATACTTAAGCCTTTTTCCCATGTGTCCATGAATGGAAGGATATGGCCATAGGGTTCTTAATCCAGAACATGGAATCTTGGCATTTCCTGGTGCCATACTTATCAAAACTATTGTACTCTGTGTTCCGATTATATCCTCCATTCTTCACGGCACTTGCTGTCACTGCCTACTGCTGTAGGAGGCTGACTAGCTATCTCTGGGACCACAATTGATCATTAAAATGCCACACTTGGCTATAAATTTAATGGACCAAAGGAGATACCATTGGTTGGCAAATCTAAAGATGGCTTGTTATCAGGGCTTCTGTACCAAACACCACATGTAACTCTAGAAGCAGTGAAAATTTTCAACTGAATTAATTTGCTCCAGTCAGTACTTGCCAACGTTTGACAGTTTCTTAGCTGTGTTTGATGCTATTGTCTGTTGTACTATCTTAGCTAGGTTGTCACACTTGTTGTAATCCTTGTATGACAATACTGTGATTGTGTGGGGTCATAACCATCAGAGTAGCCTACTATCAAATCTCTGTGTGCTGAATTAAATAAATAGACATTTGTCTTCCACATTACATTGGAAAAGTTATATCTTCAGGTAGACACAAAGACCAAGAATCAAATACACCTACAAGACAACTCTGAGGAATAGAAGTTTCCTAGGACAGCCTCAATACTAAATCTATGTACCATAAAACAATATACACGCATCAACCCAAAAAGCATGTTAAAATAAAAAGAATAGAAAATTACAAGATGCATAAGCCGAATACAAACCAGAATTCTAAGCCACAAATGACAAGTCCAGGGTACAATGAGGTAGAGGAAATCAAAAGCCAACAACCTTTGTTTTCCAGAATGATAGCAACAGAAGTAAAAAAAAAAAAAAAAAAAAAAAAAAGACTCAAGAAGCCCAGAATAAAGCCTTTCCAATTAATAAGTGAAAACTTTTATGTTTTTGGTTGGATCATTGAACACAACTGTTTGCCGTCTCTCTGCAACAGTCTCTCTGTTTGAATGTTCACTTTGTATGTTTGATACTGTGACTTGAGCAACTATCTCTAAAACGATAATGTATAATCTATTAACTGGTGATTTCTTACTGGGGTTTTTTTTTGGTTTTTTTTTTTTTTTTTTTTTTTTTTTTTTTTTTTTTGCAGTTCTGTATTACTTGTACCTTTATACCGCTTTGTTTTGTTTGTTTTTTCTCTTTTTCCTTTTAAATAAAATTTTAAAAAAGACCCAAGTAAATGAGGCTACAGAGAAATTTATCTATCAAATAAAAAAGAAATGGCAATCAGAAAAATGTATTTTCTGAATGATTCTAGACTAGACACAGAGAGAACACAGAAGAGCTAAGGAAAATAATGGAAACCATAAATGTCCAACTAGAAAAGAAATGGAATCTGTGAAACACTTTGAAACAGATATCCAGGAGATTGAAAATTCCATTGAATGTATACACAATTGACTGAATAAAGGTGAGGACACAGTTTCAGACTTTTTTGTTTTAAAGAGAATAAAACAAAAGAGAACACAACAAAGCAAATCAGAACAGAACAATGCAAGCAACACAGCACTTCACAAGACAACCAGTCATCAATATCACCTAACATAATGTCTCTTTTCTGTGACATAGTTGAGCATATCTTCACACATAGTAATATCAAATATAAAAATACTATAAAGCCATTCAAAAGAATGAAAGCATTAGAGGACTTCAAAACCAAATAAAATAAAATGAACAATGGCTACTATAATACATCATTTTCCTCAAAAAATTTGTCTATATCATCACACATAATGAAATCAAATAAACCACAGCAGCACAGAACCAATCAAAACAGAAGAACAAAAGCATGGTGAGGCTTTAAAGCTTGATAAGAAGAAATCAGCAATGGCGACCATAATGTCTTGTTTTATTCAGAATAGCTGTTCGTACCATTACATATAATAAAATCAAACAAGACAGAATAAAACCAATTAAATAAATGAATGAAAGCATTATAAGACTTCAAAGCAATATAATAGGAAACCGTGATTACCATAATATATCCCATTATATTCATAATAACTGCCCCTACCATCTGACAGCATAGAACCTAACAAAAAAAGACAGAACAAAGCCAAACCTAACAAAATTGGGTAAAAAATGCAAGAGTTCAAGATAAGACAATAACAAATTGACAGTAGTTTCCACCTTTTCCTCCAAGGTATTTCCTCCCTTTTGCTCTTTCATGATCTATTTTGCATTTGGATCCTTTTAACTCCTGTTTCTTATGCTAGGGTTCACACACATGATTTTGAACTGCTTCAGCCATAAGCATGATCTCCATTTGCGTCTATTTACCTACAGGAGCTTTAATATTATTCTACTTTACAGCTGGGTAGCTTTCCACTGCATAAAAATACCATATCCTTCTTATCCACTCTGAAGTTCATAGGCAAATTACTCTTGCTTTTTATTTGTCTCCGGTCACACAAAGCAATTGTTTTCTCTCCTTTGACTTTCAGTCTGTGAATCTGCTCTCCAGTTAAATGTGTTTCTTGTGTATGCTGTATCAATGGATCCTGGTTCTTGATCTGCTCTCCCTATGTTATTTTTTATTGCTGACCTGAGACCATCTACATTAATGATTACAACTGCCATACATTTATTTTTCTCTGTCTTGCTATCATGTTGTTTGCCCTCCACTTTTCCCCTTCATTCAATTGTGTGTCTTGCTTGGTGATCCTCCTCTGCTGCTGTTCCTGGAACCATGGTCAGCTTTATCTCTCTGTAGAACATCCTGTAGCTCTCTCTGTTAGGGTTCCTTTGGAAGTCATGAATATCTTCAGTTGTTCTTTATCATGGAAGTATCTTATTTTTCTTTCAACTTGGAAAGATAATTTTGCTTGGTTGGTCAATACGGGTTGCAAGATTTTTTTCAGGGTTTAAAAGACTTCACTCTTGACTTGATAGTTTCTATTGATGAGTCTGTTGTGAATCTGATTGGTTTTCCTTCATAGGTGATCTGTCTCTTTTCTCTAAGAGCTTTTAATATTCTATTATTGTGCTGAATTTCTGGGACCTTGATTATTGTCTGGGTATAGATTTACTTTGGATATGGCTATTTGGAGTCTTATGTGCCTCACTTATCTGCATTTCAGATTCATTTCCCATGTTTGGGAAGTTTTCTTCTATTACTTCTGTGAATATCCTTTTAATTTCATTTATGTTGACCCCCCTTCTTCACCTACACCTATGTCTTAATTTATGCTTCTTTGCATCATCCTGCTGCCTTTGGGTTATTAGTTTCTGATTTCATGTTATTTTTAAGAGATCTTTTCTTTCATGGTAACTAGCTGCAATCCTAACTTCAAGGTTTGAGAGTCTATCTTCAGTCTCTTTTAAGAGGTTGTGCCAGGTTTTGATTGAATTTTTAATTTCCTGTATCTCTCTTTAAAGCTGTTTCATACATTATAATTCCTTTCTACATTCATTCAAGTTTTCCATCACTTTCCTCTGCTCCTCTTTTTTGTCTATGTCTTCTTTAGACCTACTGAACAATTCTTTCAGCATATTTGTGGCTTCTTCTTTTATCTGAGACATTATTTCTGATTTGACTGCTTTTACAATCTCATGGAGTTGTTTCCTTACTTCAGTTGCTATCCTCTCAGGAATTTCAAGTGTATTCTTCTATAACCTTCTGCTTGCCATTATATCACACCCTGGCTCCACTCCTATGTGGCTGTAGTACTGACATCATCAATCCAAACTCTAAACAATGTACCAATCACAAATGCACAATGCAAACTCAGAGACACAAGAAAGATGGCCCTGGGGCATCCCAGGAATTGGGTCCCCACCATCTGCAGCCTCACTGCAAAGGTGAAAGAATTTGCTTAGAGGGAAAAGCTGCAGAGTGCCATTTTCCAGAATGGTGACAGAGGCCACATGAGGTTCCAGAATGGTGGCAACATAGAGAAGCTTTTCCTCGCAATCAGGGGGCCATAGACATAAACCATAACAGTGGTTTTTATAACTTTCAATGGAATTTTTGATTTCTTGTATATCTCTTTGCATCTGATCTTTGTATTCTGTTTATTTCTTATATTGTTTATCCAGGTATTCTACCTTTTTGTTTAGTTCCTCCAATTTTTTTAAACTGTGTCATCTTTAGATATGTTTAGCATCTCTTTCATTTGTTTTATCATTTCTTCCTTTACCTGGGAGATTATTTCTAGTTTGAAATCCTTTAAAGCTTCCTGGAGTTGCTTCTTTATTTCAGTAACTATTATTTAAGATATTTCAGATGTATGGCATATATTTTATTCTATGTGCATAGCTCCTGAGGTTTCTTGGGATGGGCTGGAGGTTTGAGATTTCATTTTGGTTTTTTGCTTTGTCATTTTCCTATATTTCTATGCTTCAAGTGTTTCAAGGCTTCCCCTGGATGTGTTGGAAATCAAGTCCTGTGCCCTAGGCTCCTGGGACTGAATGGAGGTTGCTGTTAGGAGGACTAGTTACCTGGACTAGTTAGGTGCTCAGGCCCTCTTGTGCCACCTTCAGTTCTCCAGTTAGCTGGGAAGGCACCTAACCACTGTGGATGATGAGCTAAAGCTCTCCTCTGGTGAAGACTAATGCCCTGGAACTCATTTCAGCTGCTCCCATAATTGAAGAAGGTCACTGGGCATAATATAGTTGGTCCTCAAATCCTCCCAAGGCTAGTCTAGTGTAGCTGGGTTCTGTTTAGGTCCTTGAGTTCCAGAAGGGATGATCTTAAAGTCTCCCGAAGCTCGAGGTGGTGCATAGACTTGCCCCAGTTGCCAGCTGAGTTTCCAGTTTTGGGTGAAGGTCACTAGGAATTTCCTGCACAGGCCTGAAAACTGCTGAGATAAGCCTAGTGTAGCTGGGCTCTGGGTGGGTCCTTGAGCTCCAGAAGAGATGATCTTATAATCTCCTGGGGCCCTGGATGGCACACAGACTTACCTTAGCTGCCAGCTGAGTTTCCCGGTTTGGGAGAAAGTCACTGGGCATGCCCCTGATAGGCCTGAAACTTGCTAAGCCAGTCTAGTGTGGCTGGGCTCTGGGCAGGTCATTGAGCTCTGGAAGAGATGATCTTATAGTCTCCCAGGGCTTGAGGTGGCACACGGACTTACCCCAGCCACCAGCTGAGTTTCCTAGTTTGGTCTGAATTCTAAGCTTTTACCCAAAATTTCTCTGGGCTGCAAGTTCCAAAATTTCATTCACAGTCATGGGAGGGTGCTAGAGAATTCCTTCAAAATGCTCATAGGACAACATGAGATCCCTAATTACACATGTAGAAGAGAAAGCAAGTATGCAGAAGTACTGACAGAAACACCCTGGGGAACCTCAGCTGAGATTGGACCACTGCTGGAACCCTAAAAATTTCCACTGGTGAGGGGTGGTGGAACAGGAAATGATGGAAGCACATCCATGGTGCTTCAGCTACCAAGAGTATAAAGGGCCTGAGATTAGCATCTATCCAAGAGTATAAAGTTACCAGAGTCCATATACAGAGACTTCTTGGGCTTCTCACAACTTTTTCTTTCCTTTGGATCAAAGAGAAGGAAAAGAGAGAAAGAAATATGTTTCTGGGATATCAGAATAATTCACTGATTTTTAAAGATGTCTCCTGAGTGAGATGTTTAAAAAGATGGGAAGAACACGTGTCTCCTTCTACAACTTATACATGTTACTCAGTACATTTCAGCACTACTATTTTTTTCTTTTAAGTTACCTTTGGCTTATTTGATTTTACACTGACAGTGTCAAGTGTCCTTTATTCTATTAGATGACCCCAAAGGACATGTTTTTGGCTCTTACCATGGTGTCCTTGATGCTTCTTTTCTGCAGGACCTGGGCGGGACTGCTCATCACAGAAGGCCCTAAGGGTCTTCAGTTTCTCTCAGATGTGAGTGCTGAGATGGACAGGAACAGAGTCTGCATATCTTTTGTGAAAATCATCCTAACTGTGACTGTGTTACATTTGTCAGCCACACAGAAACATTATATCCTGACTGCAGATACATCAGTCAATGTGGAGGTTATTTACTATGATACTGATAGTTGAAATGATGTGAATCAGAACAGAGTGCAACATTAGTGTCACAGAAAGTTTGGATGACAAATTCATGATGGCAAGCTCAGCTGGAGGGCAGAAAATTCATACTTGATCCATTCCATGGGATTCTTATTTTTTCACACAAGCATGAAGAGATTTCAGGTTTCAAAAATTTTGTCAAAGAAGCCACCCTTTTCAGGAACCCAGAAAACACTATCTCTTTATGTATTGGTACAAGAATTTCCATTGCTCCTTCTCTGAGTCTGACTATGCATTAGAGAACTGTACACTTAATACTTCTATGGCTTGGTTGCCTCAAAATAGTCTTGATACAGCCACGAGTAATGGGAGCTACAGTACATAAAATGTAGCCCATGCTGTCCATGCGATGCTTTTCAAAGAAATACAAAGGCAACCAATGAGAGGTAGACAAGTGATGATATTTCTCCCTGAAAGGTAATGTGTCTTCTTTTGGATGGCGTGCAGTGTCATCAAGTTGAATCTCTAAAGTTATTTTATGTATTTCATCCAAGTATATTAAACCATTTCTAGAAAATGCAAGCTATTGTATATCAAACTTATTGTTAAAAAGTTGATTCTCAATTGAGTTGAAATGATCCTCAAACAAAGAGCCCCTGGCAAAGAGGAAGAATCAGAAGGCCAGGTCATTGCTTCTATCCATATAGGATGTCAATGTCTTACCCATAAAAACATGTTTCATTATTTTCTTTAAGGGCAATTGGAAAGGCTGTAGTCACTGACTAACCTAAATGGCAGCAAACCTGACAATGCATGTAATTAAATTTCATTTGTCTTTAAATCTTCTGATAATTATTGAACTCTGTTGGAAGATGCTATGAGAATAGGGAAATAGACAATAAAAATTGTGGCTTTTAGAAGATTTGATTCCACAGTTGATATTTTTCCCTAACCCAACTGTGTATCTTATTTAAATGGTTTGCATAGATTATTTTCCTGAAAATTATTGGCATTTATTGATTCCATGGTGATATTTAGATATTAGACATTCATGTACTCCAATTTAATAGATGTCCAGTGTTAAGGTTGTTTTTATATAAATGGAATTAACAACACTTTGGAACTTTCCTTCACCCATATTTTCTGTGTTTTATTCTGGAGCCCTGTTCACATAGAATGATTCATCTCTTTTAGCTGCATTCCTATCTGAAGAATATCCAGTTTAACAATCCTGCTGGAGATCAAGTGAACTTGAATGATGGAAGGAAACAGAATTCAGAATATGACATTCTCAATTATTTGGATTTTCTATAAGGTCTTAGATGTAAGACTAAATTAGGTACATTTTCTTCACATGCTCAACGTGACCAAATAATGACTTTATCTGAGGCTATGATAGAGTGAACTATAGAATTACAGAGGCATGCTGAATCTAATCATGACTCACTTCCTTAGCCATGAATGAGCTAAATCCTTTCATAGCTTTTGTGCTCACAATTTTACTCGTGCAAAGGTCACATGTAGAAATTGAATAACCAAACTTTCACTTTGAAAATCTGTTTATAAGCTTTCTAGTGAGTGAGAAAGAAATGCATTTACCTCATTTTGTTTTTGTAAATATATATTTCATATTTTGAAATAATTTTATCATGTAATTAATTTTGTTTATGCATGTATACAACTTAAATTCATTCCTGTACCTCTGAAAAAGTAAATACCTAAGAAGTTACCACCATGTATTTTTCCCTTAGACTCCCCACTTGGTGTATAGTGAGAGTTGCAGTCCTGGATTTAGAAAAATCTCTCAGGAGGGAATGGTTGCCTATTGTTTTGATTACAACCTTGTTCAGACAATGAGATCACCACTGACTCAAGCAGGAATTGTGGCCCATGCCCTCCATGAGATGCTCACTCTATTTTCACTCTTTTTTATGTTCACTTCCTCCATGCAGGAGAGGGAAAATATATTGTAGGGGACACAAATGATAAATGCCTCCATCACTTATCAAATCATTTGTTATATTGAGTGCCATTGTCTAGTTGGGTATCACATTTTTCCCTTTGAAATGCATTCTAGTTCATTTTCCTTTCATTTCATTCTAACTAATTTTGTGTTGGCTTTTTGCATTTCTAGAAATTAATGCAAAATGTATTCTGTCAATGATTTATGTTCCTGCTACTCTTATTTGTCATTATGAGACAGGATATTATCAATTTGCTTCAGACTCCCTCATAAATTCAATAGACCTGTATTCTCTGGCAGAGCACTTATGAACTCCACATCTAACTACATTAATTTATTTCTCTAGTCCCATTAAAAACATTCTTTGCTCAAGCCCTTTTCCCTGTTCCACAGCTTCGAAGTTCCATCTGCATTGTGAAATTTAACATGAAGTAGGATTAAATCGAACTGTTTACAACCTCTGGGTCCACAGGAAGATTACAGTCAAGACATGATCAGGTATCCTTCATTTTCCAGTGCCTGATGCTATTCTTCACACAAAGAAGATGTACAGAGAGATTGAGTTTGATTGGACATAGGGTGATGTTTCTGATATAAAACACAACACAATCTAATTCCTAGAATGTAAGCCTCATTCACTTAAAATGCATACGTGAGTGGGGAGATAGACCCTGGCATGAATTAGAGTGTACTTCACAAATGCAAGGATGAGATATGCATGCAGAATATGGGATTTTACAAGTCTTAACATTTCCACTTCAGGAGAGTTTCATAGGCATTGACACAGATGAGATAGTGCTAGAATTATATCAGGATACAAAGAGGAGGCATAAATCCTTTTAGGATTATGAGAAATGGTCAAAACGGCATAGCATCATTCATGGAATATTCAAGTATCCTAAAGGAAAACACTATGTTATCAAAACACAGATATAATGAGGATGAAGGCTGAAACATAGTCTATAAAATTTATAGAAATCTAATGATGAAATGTGTTGCATACCATAAGTACCATGTGGAAATATTTAAATTTCTAAAAAATTATGATATATTGGAATCATCTTTCTACTAAATATTTTCTGATTTAGATGATGCAAGTCTTGACTTTAAAACATATTTAATAGGATTTCAAGTGTTCTCTGAAATACATCAAGACCAATTATGTCATGTATCATGTAATAATTTTGAAAATATATTCTTCAGAAAGTATAACAATATGGTACCTTTCAAAAAATATTGTATGTGCACATTTAGAGAATAATATACCGACTAATATCAGTTGATAATTGCTTTATGTGTAATTTTCAATCATATATTATGTATACAATAGATCAAAGCAAATCAAAGATCATGGGCAACTGAAAACCCCATGAGTTGAAATTAAACCCTACTAAGAAAAATATACATTTGATATTAGGTATGCTTTTATGCTGTTGTGTATTTACATAAAAAGCTTAAGTTCTACATTTGAAATATCATCATACACTAGAAAAAGGTAGAGCAAATGAAACACAAAGAAAATGAAAGATGGGATACTGAAAAGAATATTTAAGAAATTAAGACAAAGTTAAACTGAACAGAAGTAAATGTGATTGTGATAACAAAAAGTGACAACTCAGTATAATTGATCAAGGAGAAAGACAATAATGGAAAGCTAGTATACAATGACAGAAAACTGTCCAATAGTTACAGTTATATAGAAACATTTCCTATGAAAATATGAGTAATTTCACATCAATCAATGCCTTGAAATCTATAAAACAACAGGAAAATTTAGCAAACAGTCCTATGAAATAATTTAAAATCTCCATAGCAGTAGTATCTTCACAGCACCTTGTCTACTAACAGAAAGAAGTGCATGGTATAATATTTGACTCCAAATTTTTGTTTATTGATATTAGTAGAAGTGAAACTTATAAACACTCAAACACATATTAATGCTGACCTCTTTGTTTCAGAGAAAAGGAAAAGAGGAAAATCAATGCGTTTAAGGCAAGAACAAAATTGTGT